GGTGTCAGGTGGGGCCCCTGACAAGGCGCTTCATGCCTACAAGCCACAAGCGTGAGCGAAAGCATGCCAGTCGTGGTTTGAGAGGACGACAGTGGCCGCCAATGCCGCGCCCGCTCGCCTGCACGTTGAGCAGGCTGCCGACGAATGCGATGGCGCAGCTGTTGTCCGGGGCGCAGTGCACAAAGGGCGAGACGCGCCAGATCTCTGGGGCCGCCTCGATCACGCCCTGCTTAACCTGGCGTCCAGGGGGAATGGGGCAGGCAGTGTGTGTGTGTGTGTGTGTGCGTGTGTGTGTGTGTGTGCGCGCGCGCGCGTGCGCGTGCGTGTGTGCGTGCGCATGGGAGCATGTGTGCATATGCGCATGGGAGCATCAGGGGACTTCATGGGCAGCCTGTCGCATCATGGGGCCGGCCCTGTGCTGCAAGCCAGCAGCCAAGGGTGGCGGCGCCTGCGAAACAGGGGCAGCCACGGCAGCATGCCCGCAACCAGGGGGGTTGTGCGCAGCCGGGGCAGCCGAACCCGGCGGGGCCACCCACCGTGAGGCCGCATGTTGGGAACACAAACGTCTGTGTGTTGGTGAGGGACCCCTGCCTGGCGAGCTGCGGGAGCCCGGGGCCGCCCGCGTCCCTGGCGGCGCCGACGAGCGACTCGTAGCTGGAGCCGCACTCTGTTGGCAGGTCACTGTCGTCCTCCCAGCTGCGCAGCCGCATGATATGGGTGGTGATGGGCGTGCATGCCGTCGAAGAGCGAAATTCGGTTGAGTGGCGGGCGTGCGGACTGCGGCAACGCTGCTGTAGCATGTTGGTGCAGCCCCGGACAGTGGCGTCCGCATTCGACAAGGCTGAACGGCGCAGGCCAACATACAGGGCCACTGGCACACGCACCTGGCGGACACCGCCGAAATGAGACGAGCGACCTTCTTGCTGTCCTTGCGGGGCAGCAGCCAGCTCACAGCGGCGGGCCTGTACAAGGGAGGGGCGCGTGCCGTCATGGTGCCGGCAGAGTGCGACTGGACGCCCACGTGGGGCGGTGGTGGGTCGTGGACCAACAGAGAGGTCGCCTGCGTCCCGGTTTCGGAATCCCTCTCCAGCAGGCCCGTCGCCAATACAACAGCGGCGTGATATATCGCCCCCGTGCTGGGCACCGTACCTCTGGACATACGCGAACCAAGCGGCCTCCTCGCATGAAGCTTGATAATCCACCATTAAAGTGCAGCGGCCTGGGGGCTACTTATGCAGCGGGCAGTGATCTAGCACTGAACGGAAAGCCAACGCAACGGAGGGTCTTTCGTGAACCTTTCTTGCTTAGAGCGCGATTGTTCTGTGCTGTCACACGATTCCGCAATGCCACCATTTGTGCCGTTTGCGTGGAGGGCGACGTTCCACAGCAAGCAGCTTCTGCGGGTGGCACTCGCACTCCACTGCAGGGCGCTCGCACTGTGCGCATGGCAGCTTTTGGGGAAGCGCAGACGGCACTCAGGCAGGCAAAGCGCGGCCTACGCAATGAGTGCAGCCGGGCCATCCGCCGCTCTCCATGCATGTTGAGGGGGGGCTCAGCTGTGTGGTGTCCCCGGTTGTCACACCCACACATCCTACTGCCGCATCGCTGCGCACATAAACCGCTGCAAAGTGTGCGTCCAAAGGTGTGTTTACTTTGACAGCTGCTGCAAGCTCGTTCCAGGTGTGCTGCAAATTGTGTGTGACAACAACACAACAATGTGAATGATCAACATGAACGAAGACATTGCGTCAGGCCGTGCCGCTGCAAATCACCAATGCAGCTGAGTGTAATAGCTAGGTAGGCGCTGTGGCGGGGCGCTGATGGCGATACATGTATGTACCTGACCCTGCCCACTAGTCCCCTGATTGCCCGAGAGGAGAGCGTGCAGCCATTGGCAACATGGGGATGGCGCCTAGCGGTCTGCCCAGGAGGAGTGCTGACGTTATTGGACTGTGTACGGGCAGCGCTATGATGGCATCTGTGCCTGATTGATCACCGCTGGAGCAGCTGATGAAGCGCTTGTCGGAACTGCATTTTCAAGGAAGTTCACCCGCTGAAGGCGTTGGGGCAGCAGAAAGCCATCAAACATGACTGTACGGTACAGCTCGCCGCATGACTGACTTGCACTTGTTAGAAAACTGCGTTCTGGGAGGGGCCCCATGTGCTCAGAGCTCCCGGAGCTCTAGTCGTAGTGCACTGCAGCGGTGTGATGACGTGTGAGTCAAGGCAAACTGTTGATCTCATGGTGCGTCAGAATCAAACCAAGGTTGGACACGGCTGCTATCAGTAATTACTATGGTATAATACATATGCGTCCTGCGCGCGCACACAGCTCCTGCGTTCTTCTGCGCAGCAGACGGGCGGCATGCAGGGCAGCCGGGTGAGAGACTTTGCTTTATAAAGCTTTATCATGAGCATTTTCTGTGTTTGGGGTGCATCTAGCCGTCGTGCGGACGGATCGGTGGACACGGACACAGCGTTGTGGGTGGCACCTCCCTCATCTGCTCACGTCCCTGAAACATAACCGTTACAACTTCAGGGCAAGCGAGGCACCACGCAGCATGCAGCTGCAGCGGCGCCCGTCACCGCGGCGAGCGACAGGCATTTTGAAGCGCACGGCGACGCGGCTGGGCACAAGCGGGGCCTATCAATGCGTGTGTCGCCGCTGGTTGTCGTAGACGATGACTCTGACCAGCACATGCAGGCGGGGCCGCGGGACAGCAGCCAGGCGGGCATCGATCAGCTCGCCACTGCCGCTGACAAGAAGCAGCACAGCGGGGTTGACGCTGCCGCAGGGCCCGGCCACGGCCCCGCCCTTGCCGCGGCCGCCAAGCCCGGCGGCGGAACCGGGGCCAGTCGCGCCGCCGAGGCCAAGCGGCGCCAGTCCCATGTCGCCCTGGCCTTCGGCCGGAAGTCCTCGCCCCGCTGCACCCGCAGCTTGCCCCTGGCCGATCCCTCGACGGCGGCGCCGGCAGGCGCCGGCGCAGAGGGCGACGCGTCCGCGCGCTCGCACGCCAGCATGGCCAGCAGTTCCGCTTGCAGCGCCGCACCCGCCGCCGCCGCGCGCGGCCACGGCCAGCTGGCGCACCACCGCCCCGCCGCCGCCGCTGCCGCGGGCAGGGGCGCCGGGAAGCCGCTCGAGCAGCCGCCCTGGCTGGGGCCACTGGGGGGCCGGCCAAGGGCGTCCCTCGGCGCGTCTGGTGGGGACGGGCACGCCGCAAGCAACACACAGAAGCGCGCCGCCGCGCCTGGCCTGATGACGGCGTCGATCGACAGCAGCAGCGGCGACCCCGCACTGCGCTCCGCGGCGGCGGGCCCCGCCCGCAAGGTTGCGGGCGGGCCGTCCGCGGCCGCACGAGTCGCGGCGGCTGCGGCGGCGGCGCCGTCCCGGCTGCAGGGCGGGCCGTCGGGCATCGGCAAGACGGTTGAGAAGCAGCAGCAGCAGCAGCGGCCGCAGCAGGGCGGGGGTGCAGACCTGCCTGGCAGACCTGGCCTTGAGCACACTAGAGCGGACGAGGCGGCCGGCGCCGCGGCGCACTCTGGAGAGGTTGGGTTTGCTGACACCGCATCCGACGCGGCGGCGGCCGCCAGGCGCGTCGCGGCGCTGCCGCTGCACAGGGTCGGTCCTCAAGAGGAGGGGGAGCCTGGCGGCGGGGAGCCCTCGCCGCCGCGGCACCGCCGCGCGCCGCCGTCTCCGGACCCGCTGACGCCGCGGGGCGCGGCGGGCGGCCCGGGCGGCGCGGCGGCGCAGCAGCCCGCGGAGTCGTCGGACACGCGGCCGCTGCAGGGGCAGGCCGCCGGCGAGGCGCATGCGCAGGCACAGGCACAGCGGCCCCAGGGCCAGCCGAGGGCCGCGCCGGCCAAGGCGCGCGCCGCCGCGCCGGCGCCGCGCGCCACGCCGCCCAAGCCGCAGCCGGGGGCGTCGCCGATTTTCGCGAGGGCGGCCGGCGGCGGGCGTGGGGGGCCGGGGCGGCGCTGCGTCGCCGCCTACACCCCAGAGTGAGCCTGGATGGGCGGTGCATGCAGGGCGTGAGGTACATGAAACCCCCGCATCATGCAGCCCGGTGGTTGACGCAAGTCACGGTTGCCGGCACACAGGCTGCTCGCCACACCAACACCCTCCGTCAACCGCCCGCCCCTGCCGGGCCCCCAACCCCGCAGGCCCAAGCCCAAGGCCGCAGGCGAGCAGCGGCGCGCCAAGCGCACGCCTGTGCCACGGCTGGACTTGACGCCAGTGCTGCTTTCCCAGGAAGCGCAGTCCGGCGCCGCAAGCGACGCCGAGCCGGACTGCGACGAGGGCGCCTGGGCCCAGCAGCCGCAGCGGCCAGAGCAGTCCGGGGGCAGCGGCGCGGGGCTCCCGAGCGGCGGCGGCGGCGGCGGCGGCGACGCGGGGTTCTTTTTGGATGCGGCGAGGCCGGACGGGTCTGCTGGGCGGAGCGGCGGCAAGGCGGCGGGCAGCAAGCCCGCCGCCGCGGCGCGTGCGGCGGCGGGGAAGCAGCAGCCGTCGGGCGGGGCGGCGCCCGGGTCGGGGGCGGGCTCCGCGCAGGAGCCTGAGGAGGCATTTTACGTGTATGCCCCAGCGGTGCCGCGGGAGGTGCGTCCTAGTTGCACGCGCGCGTGCGCACGCGGCCGCCGCCGCCGCCGCCTCGGGGAAGACCTGGGCACAGGCCGCAGCCGGGCGCGTGCTTCGCCGCGCGGCGTGCAGAGGCTGATGGCGGATCTCGCGGCGTCGGCTGCTTCCGGCTTTCTGCGCCTTTCCGGATCCGTCGTCCAATCATACAAGGGACGACGCCTGGACAGCCGAATCTGGATCATCCACACACGCAGTATTAACCGAACCGCGGCCGGCGCGCCACCTCCCTCATCC